TTATACATCACTCTGTTTAGCCCTGCCCACCGATTCTACATCACTGTTTAGCCCCGCCCACCGATTCTACATCACTGTCTGTTTAGCACCGCCCACCGATTCTACATCACTGTCTGTTTAGCCCCTCCCACCGATTCTACATCACTCTGTTTAGCACCGCCCACCGATTCTACATCACTGTCTGTTTAGCACCGCCCACCGATTCTACATCACTGTCTGTTTAGCACCTCCCACCGATTCTACATCACTGTCTGTTTAGCACCTCCCACCGATTCTACATCACTGTCTGTTTAGCACCTCCCACCGATTCTACATCACTGTCTGTTTAGCACCTCCCACCGATTCTACATCACTGTCTGTTTAGCACCTCCCACCGATTCTACATCACTGTCTGTTTAGCACCTCCCACCGATTCTACATCACTGTCTGTTTAGCACCTCCCACCGATTCTACATCACTGTCTGTTTAGCACCTCCCACCGATTCTACATCACTGTCTGTTTAGCACCTCCCACCGATTCTACATCACTGTCTGTTTAGCACCTCCCACCGATTCTACATCACTGTCTGTTTAGCACCTCCCACCGATTCTACATCACTGTCTGTTTAGCACCTCCCACCGATTCTACATCACTGTCTGTTTAGCACCTCCCACCGATTCTACATCACTGTCTGTTTAGCACCTCCCACCGATTCTACATCACTGTCTGTTTAGCACCTCCCACCGATTCTACATCACTGTCTGTTTAGCACCTCCCACCGATTCTACATCACTGTCTGTTTAGCACCTCCCACCGATTCTACATCACTGTCTGTTTAGCACCTCCCACCGATTCTACATCACTGTCTGTTTAGCACCTCCCACCGATTCTACATCACTGTCTGTTTAGCACCTCCCACCGATTCTACATCACTGTCTGTTTAGCACCTCCCACCGATTCTACATCACTGTCTGTTTAGCACCTCCCACCGATTCTACATCACTGTCTGTTTAGCACCTCCCACCGATTCTACATCACTGTCTGTTTAGCACCTCCCACCGATTCTACATCACTGTCTGTTTAGCACCTCCCACCGATTCTACATCACTGTCTGTTTAGCACCTCCCACCGATTCTACATCACTGTCTGTTTAGCACCTCCCACCGATTCTACATCACTGTCTGTTTAGCACCTCCCACCGATTCTACATCACTGTCTGTTTAGCACCTCCCACCGATTCTACATCACTGTCTGTTTAGCACCTCCCACCGATTCTACATCACTGTCTGTTTAGCACCTCCCACCGATTCTACATCACTGTCTGTTTAGCACCTCCCACCGATTCTACATCACTGTCTGTTTAGCACCTCCCACCGATTCTACATCACTGTCTGTTTAGCACCTCCCACCGATTCTACATCACTGTCTGTTTAGCACCTCCCACCGATTCTACATCACTGTCTGTTTAGCACCTCCCACCGATTCTACATCACTGTCTGTTTAGCACCTCCCACCGATTCTACATCACTGTCTGTTTAGCACCTCCCACCGATTCTACATCACTGTCTGTTTAGCACCTCCCACCGATTCTACATCACTGTCTGTTTAGCACCTCCCACCGATTCTACATCACTGTCTGTTTAGCACCTCCCACCGATTCTACATCACTGTCTGTTTAGCACCTCCCACCGATTCTACATCACTGTCTGTTTAGCACCTCCCACCGATTCTACATCACTGTCTGTTTAGCACCTCCCACCGATTCTACATCACTGTCTGTTTAGCACCTCCCACCGATTCTACATCACTGTCTGTTTAGCACCTCCCACCGATTCTACATCACTGTCTGTTTAGCACCTCCCACCGATTCTACATCACTGTCTGTTTAGCACCTCCCACCGATTCTACATCACTGTCTGTTTAGCACCTCCCACCGATTCTACATCACTGTCTGTTTAGCACCTCCCACCGATTCTACATCACTGTCTGTTTAGCACCTCCCACCGATTCTACATCACTGTCTGTTTAGCACCTCCCACCGATTCTACATCACTGTCTGTTTAGCACCTCCCACCGATTCTACATCACTGTCTGTTTAGCACCTCCCACCGATTCTACATCACTGTCTGTTTAGCACCTCCCACCGATTCTACATCACTGTCTGTTTAGCACCTCCCACCGATTCTACATCACTGTCTGTTTAGCACCTCCCACCGATTCTACATCACTGTCTGTTTAGCACCTCCCACCGATTCTACATCACTGTCTGTTTAGCACCTCCCACCGATTCTACATCACTGTCTGTTTAGCACCTCCCACCGATTCTACATCACTGTCTGTTTAGCACCTCCCACCGATTCTACATCACTGTCTGTTTAGCACCTCCCACCGATTCTACACTGTCTGTTTAGCCCCGCCCACCGATTCTACATCACTGTCTGTTTAACCACGCCCACCGATTCGCGAATGTATTGTTTACGAGATAGAACACAGAAACCAAACGATAAAGATGCTCTGAAGACAACAAGACGCTGTGCAGTGACAAGCGGTGGAAAAACAGTCTTTGCATTGTAGGGATGTAATGATATCAAAATCTGAAATATCAAAATATGAAGCCCACGATACGGTATTTATTGCAATATTTAAAAAAAAAAAGACAAATGAAGAATTGGGGAAAAAAAGGAACATTTTGAACGTTTTAAAGTTAAATTATTCTCTCTAATGCACTTTGAGAGTCAAAATAAAGAGCTGCAACCCATGTTCTTAACTAAGCAAACTTCAGTGAATTGACTTGTAGCTGAACTTTAAAGGGACTCAACCCTCTTTTTATTTGTGATAGTGTCTCAGTCTAAATTACATTCACACTGCTGTTTTAGGAAGCCAAACAAATTAGAATATAATAATATTAATAACAACACAGTAATGGCCATATTGTCATGCCTATGGACTGTCCTTGTGTTCCTGTCTGGTGTTTTGCTCCCCATGTGCTCTCCATGTCCTAGTTTCTCCCTCATGTTTGATCATGCCCATATTTGGTTGTTCCTGTGCCCATTGAGTTCCATTTGATTCACCTGTGTTCCCCTAATTATCCTCATTATGTTCGGTTTACTTAAGCCCAGTGTTTCCTGTGTCTAGTGTTCCTACGTGTGTGTTCCTTGTTCCTGTGGATTATTAAAGACTGTTTTCGTGAATTCCCCTACGTCTCCTCGTTCCTCACAGTAGGCAATTGTGACAGAATACCGGACCTTACAAGATGACTGAATCTGAGAGTCGGCTGTGGTGTCTCCGGCAGGGTGGCCGGCCTTTGGAGAGGTATGTGGAGGATTTTCTCAAGCTCTTCAACCGGGTGTGCTGGCACGACGCCGCACGCGGTGCATGTTTTCAGCTGGGGCTGGATGAGGAAATAATCCATTGCGATCTCCCCACGTGTGATTTTCCCTTGATCGAGCTGATTAATCTTGTCCTTTATTTAAACGGTTCAAATTGAGGTAGAAGAAATTATGAGCCATCCTCATCCAGCCCCTCCTGAAAACCACAGTGACTCTCCAGCTCACCTCACGCCGGGACCCTCCACATACCTGGCCAATGTCTCAGACCACCCATATCCTTCTGGGTTCCCACAAGCTCCTCCCAGAACCATCCCGGTCCTCAGCCCAGAACCGCCGGCCGCTCCACTGTCAAGCCCGCCGGCCGATTCACTCCCAAGGCCTAGGATGACAGCAGTTATCTCCTTCACCTCTGCCCAAAAAAGAATGCGGCGGAAGAGACTGTGGGCTCCAGCCCCCGAGTCCGCTCCAGTGTCGGTTCGGCTCCAGCCCCCGAGTCCGCTCCAGTGTCGGCTCCAGCCCCCGAGTCCGCTCCAGTGTCGGCTCCAGCCCCTGACGAGAGTCAAGACATGGCTCTAGCCCCAGACCCTAGTCAAGAGTGGGCTACTGTTTCCACGTCGAACCCAGGGAGGGCTCCTGCTCCTACGCTCAGCCCAGGAAGGGCTCCAGTTCCCCAGTCCAGCCCAGAGAGAGACTCTGTTCCCGAGTCAAGCCCATGGAGGGCCGTTGTTCCTACACCTGGCCCATGAAGGGCCACAGAACCCGAATTTTTCCCCAAGGAATTTTTTTTGGGGGGGGGGGGGGGGGAGTCTAAAAACAGGACAGAAAATAGCCTATTACTTCTACATTAAGTTTTTTGATGTAAAAATCTTGATAACATTATAAGTGGACCTCAGAGAACAGTACAAACTAAAAAAACAGAGGCATGACCCCTTTAACTCATCTACATACCGTTGAACAATCACATTTTTGAATATTGTAAAATATTTAGAAAATTATTGAGATACATTATTTTAATAACGATTATTCAATATTTAGAAAATTATAGCATCACATTATTTTGATTAATTTTAGAAAAATAATTCACAATATTTAAATAATTATTTAATATTTAGAAAACTGTTACATTATTTGAATGATTGTTCAATATTTAGAATTATTGAGTCACATTTTTTTAAGTCAATATTTAGAAAATTATTGCAGCATATTATTTTAATAATGATTATTTAAGATATTTTTTCAGATTATTCAAAATTGTGGCAGCATATATATTGGTTGCATAACGGTGATTATTAAATATATGACAAATTGTTGTGGCACATTTTTTTTAAATAACAATTTTTCAATATTTAGAATTTTTTTGCATCACATTATTTGAATAATGAACGTGTGTTACAATGCAGTTTAACAATAATGATTACAACTGTTCTCTATTACCGAAATGGATATTAAAAATGTAAAGTAATAATAATAAAAAAAAGAAAACACAAAGAGAGTGAATGTTAAAAGTTATAACACACTATATCAGGACAGAGCTATTATGTTTAAAACAGTCAGGATTCATTTTAACAAGACAGATGTCAGATGCTAAAAAACACAAGGAGATCACAGTGAACATACGGACACACACCTGAACCAGTGTTTACAAAACACACCTCAGACAGGAGACTTCCTTCTGCTCTCTCACACACACACACAAACACACACTCTCTCGTACACACATACACACAC